GGGGGGTCCGATTGGTGGGACTGTCCTTGGTAGCCTCCGGCGTGTTCGTGGAACCACACCGGGGCTCACAGCGCACCAGGCTCCCCCGCCCCCCCCCCCCCCCCCTTCACCGCCACCTCCGTGTTGGATTGAGGCCGACATGAGGGAGAAGGCGGGATATTGTGCACCGATGTTCAACGCGACCGGAGACCGCGCGCCTGCCGCCAGGTGGTACGGTGTTCGGAGATCACATTCGAGAGAACATCGAGGAAGGGGTAGGTCTCAAGGCGCGCGCGTTCACGCGGCATGCAAGGGAGGGGGCGGGGGGGGGGGCATACCCTGGCGCTCCATTTTGGTCCTTGCCAAAGGCACTGTAGTGGAATCCCCATGTAAACGATAGATGAAGCAACACGTGAGTGAATTGCCACACGTGTTACATCGTGGGAATGATAGCATCCCAGAACAGCATTCCTCGGAGAGGAATGCGGGGTAGAACAACAGCCAGGTGGCCGCCGAGGCCGAGCGGCATAAACGCTCGACCGAGGACGGAGATACGCGGGTGGGCGGGCCCAGCCGCGGGGTTCTCAGTTCCAACCCCTGACCGAGCCCAAAGGTCAAAAAGGGGGACTCTCGTTGAGAGCCTCCTGAGAGCGAAAGCCTTAGCAGCTGTGTGTCGAAGAGTATACGGAAGTATAGCCGAAGCACCAGTTAGGCCGACGAACACCTGTTCTAAGGCTTCCTCTCGAACCCTTTTTAACATCCGAGTTCCTTTCTATTTTCGCTTGCCACTAACTCGTCTCAAGCCGAGTTACTGACTCATCTGGTAACAGACGACCGTGAACCGCTGGTTGGTATGTCCCCTCCTTCATGCCAAGAGGTTACTAACCAGGTGGCAGATCACACTGGTACCCTTCGTCAAGCCTCACTCACTTGACTTAGGCTTAACCCGTGTGAACCCTGCTACAGGCACCTGCGGGACACGCTTTCGGGGGATGTCCCTGTCACTGGTGCGGGTGCACTTGTCAGGCCTCTTGGCCCCCCCCCCCGGGGGGGGGGGGGGTTGGCACAGAGGCGGACACAGGCCTGCTTGCGGGCCCCCTCTCCTGTCCTCGCCCTGTTACGGGGATTGCGGAGGCGGTCCTCGTCCTCTCGGGCAACTGGCCGGGGTGCGGTTTTTCTTCCGGAGCCTCCGCTCGCGTGTGAATGTGCGGGGGCGGGGACGGGCGGGGGCGGGGGCGGGGGCGGGGGCTGGATAATCATTAGGGGTGGATGACCAGAGGCCTCCCTTCGCGCCTGGGGGCCTATCACCTTCGTGGGTGGTTTCTCCTGGCGTAGCCTGACAAAGCATGTTGAATTTCTTTACAAACCGTCACATGCCACCTATTGTATCACGTTCGCATGGGCGCAATCACGCGACCACCGTCTCTCAGTAGGGTTGTCGCCTGGTCTGCAGCCAGCGCCGCGGGGGACGGCCGGGACAGCGGGGCGGAAGGCCCTCCCACATTCGGGGCGGATGGAAGTTCCCCGTGCCCCCTGCCCGATCTTCCCACCCGTATCTGCACCGGAAGGGACCTCAGTGGACTGGCGTGAGGGTGCAAAGCAGAGCGATCTCCCAACTGGGGAAGCCGGGAGGGGCGGCTTGCATGTTTTGCCTGGGCCGGGCGCAAGGTGCGCGTGCGTGTGTGGCGCGCCCCAGGGACAATCCTTTTCAGCCTCCTGCCTGCTTGCCTGCCGTATGGGCCAATCAGCATCAAGGTTTCCTCCTCCTCCTCCCCCCCCCGCCCCTGCCTCTCTCCCTCGCCCGCCTCCCCCATCCTCCGCTCCTCCGCTCCTCCGCTCTCCCCCCCCCATCTAGCCATGGCCAAGTCTGGATCCGGCACCGCGGCTAACCCGCGCGACCACGCAATTCCCGGCGCTCTGCGTCTGAAGGGCGCCGGCAAGAAGAAGTCCAAGAAGTCCAAGAAGGTCGATGCCGCGGCCGCAGGTGCTGCAGTCGATGCCTCCGCCAAGACAAAGAGCTCCTCCCCGTACGACATCGGCCCTTCTCTCCACTTCCTACCGCCGGCCTGTGCCTGGCTTTTCGTTTCGCTGACACCCCTCCTCATCCAGCCCGCCCGCTCTTATCGAGCCGGAGAAGACCCCGGCCGAGCTCGAGTATGAGGCCACCATGCGCGAGCGTGTATGTTCCTGTGCCACCAGATGCCCCCCCCCCCCCCCGCCCTGCGGACTCCTCTCTCCCGGTCCGATGGTTGTACTGTTGTGCGGTTTTTCCCTAACCCCGTCCTCCTTCTCCTCTCCCCTGGCGGGGAACTTCAGCGTTCGCAAAAGATCGAGCAGATGGCCAGCAAGTCTCATCGCGAGCGTGTAGCCGTGCGTCCCGTTCCTCTTCCTTTTTGTATCACACTCCAATGTGCTGCTTCGCTCAGGCATCTAACTCCGTCCTCGTTTGTCTCGTGCTCAGGAGTTCAACGCCAAGCTGGAGAAGCTCACCGAGCACAATGATCTGCTTCGTGTGCGTCTTCACCGCTTGATCACTGGAAGCTTCGAGCTTCACGCCCCTGCCACCTCTTTCCCTTTGCCCGTTCTCCCTCTGCGCTTTTCTCCTGGCCTTGCGCATGTACTGATGTCACCCTGTCGCCATACCTCCCCCCTCCCCCCCCCCCCGCCCTGCCCGCAGATCAGCGGCTCTTAATGTCTTCCCACCTGCACCTCCTCTTCCGCTCGCCAGGCCTCTGCTCCTCTATCCACCTCCACCCCCCTGGACTTTGGCCTTTCGTCTGGGATGCTTCAAATATACACATTCAAAAGTATTCTAGCCTTCTACTGGCCCTATTCATTCTTTCCCCCTTCTCCCGCTCGCCCCCATCCTTCTCCTTCCGGTTGCTGCCTCCCTCCCCCTCCTCACGGACCGTCATGGAGTGTGGGTGGTCGCATACCAAAAGTCTTCCCCGCGCCCCTTCCCCCCCCTCTCTTGTGCCCGAGAGGCCCTGTCCTCACCCCGGCGGTTGGAAGGTGTGAAAGTGGCCCGAGGCCCTGAGAGCAGGCGATCGCGTATCAGTTGGCACCTCGGCCTACAGACGGGTGACAGATTTTTTTGTTGTGTTCAGTCCACACCCCGGGCCGATCAGCCGGCCTGGGGAGGGCGGACCGGGGAGGGGGGGGGGGGGGCAGGCGGCGGGCACGGACCTCGGATGCCTGGCCCCCTTTGCTCTCAGCCTGGCACTCTGCGTAGACGGGAAAAAAAAAAAAACACACACTCATCTGCCAGGCTGGTTCGCCCCAAAGCACGTTCTTACTCACTGACCTCGGAGGACGTGTCATCCGCCGACCGCACAGCTGAGCCCGGGTGGGGGGGTGTCCCCCCTCCCGCCCCCTGTGACCGGCGGCCTGGGACGCATCGTCGTCGGAGGATCCGATCGATCAAAGTTGTTGTTGTTCTGGGCGCCGGCGGACGCCGTTGGGGGCCTCGCTTTGATGTCTTTGCCGCTAGGAGCTCCCTTTCATCTGGTGAGGACCGTGTGCCAGAGCGGAGGCCAAAAAGGGAGAAGGGACAGCTGTCCCGGTGCGCTAATTTCGCCCTGAGAATCAAGCTAGCCTGCCCCCCCCCCCCCCCCCTTCTCCTCTGTCGTCTACACCTTCCAGGCTTCCTCCTCTCCCCCGTGTGCAACGCATACCTTTCCTTCCCCCCTCCCGCCTCTCTCTCTCTCTCTCTCTCCCTCTCTCCCCTTGCCATAGCGATGACTCTCACCCCGGTCAAACGCCCGGAGCCCAAGCAGCTCCGGGCCCACGTCATCCAGGAAACAGTGGATACGGTAGTCTCAGCGGAGGCAGCACGTCTGGCCGAGGGGCCCGAGTGGCTGACCCAGTCCCAGGAAAAGTATGATCTCTTGGTCCTTGTGTCCTCCCCCCTGCTCTCCCCCCCCCCCCTCATCCCTTTCTCTTGCCCTCCCTGGCCTCCTGCTTCAGGTACTGACCTCGTTTCCTACTGTGGGACCGCGGCCCGGCCGACAGTCATGGCCTGCCACTGAGTGTCGAGCGCTCCTTCGCATCATTTCCCGTCTGGGAGCTGACGCACTACCTGTTCGGTGGTCGCGAGCGCGCCGAGGTACATGCCGTGACCTGCTGCCTTGCCATGCCTTCCTGGGCTAACTCCCCCCTCGTCCCACGGCTCTGCAGCACCGCGAGCGGCTGATGTCAGATATTGAGCGTGACCCCTCCTTCATGATGCTCGACCTGAAGCACGACCTGCCAATGGGGTCTGTTCGCGAGGCGACCCTCCGCCGGGTGCGCATGGCTTCCAAGTCCCCTGCCTGTCTTTCACCCTGGGCAACATCTCTTACTCCTCCCTTGCCTGTTGCGGTTCGCAGGCCCGAAACTTCACCGAAACCATCCTCGAAGAGCACGAGTCCGTGACGCGCATGCGCTTTGATGTTTTGGCCATGGTCGATCCCTCCTTCATGACCCGCGTCGGGGTGCACGTGCGTTTGCCACCGCTCCCCCATCCCAGTGGCCACCGCTCTTTCTCCCTTTCTCTCTCTCTCTCTCTCTCTGTCTGTCTCTCTCCCTGGTCAATATCAGCTTCCTGACACCCCTCATGCCAGTACGCGCTCTTTTGGGGGACCATCCGCGGGCAGGGGACCACCGAACAGATCGTGGACCTGGCCTCACAGGGGATGCTCCTGCTGAAGGACTTCTTCGGGTGCTTCGCCATGACGGAGCTCGGGCACGGGTCCAATGTGGCTGGCCTGCAAACTACGGCCACCTTCATGCCGGAGTCCGACGAGTTCGAGCTGCATACCCCTTCGCTGCTGGCCACCAAGTGGTGGATCGGCGGGGCGGCCGAATCGGCCACCCATGCGGTTGTCTTTGCGCGGCTCCTGTCCAATGGGACTGACTATGGTGTGCGGCCTTTCGTGGTGCAGCTGCGCCATCCCCAGGACTTTGCCCTGTGCTTCGGGGTCACCATCGGCGATTGCGGGGCCAAGATGGGTCGGCATGGCATCGACAATGGTTGGATTCAATTCAACCGGGTGCGTATCCCGCGGCGGGCCATGCTGGCGCGCCATGTGTCCATCAACCGGGCTGGTGTGGTGCGAGAGCGGGCTCGCGGCTCGCGGCAGCTGGCCTACGGAGCGCTGATCACGGCTCGAGTGCAGATTGCGGTTGATGCCTCGAATGCCTGCAAGCGAGCCATCACCATTGCCGTGCGCTATGCCGCTGTGCGGCGGCAATTCAGCCCGCATCCCGAGGCCCCGGAGACCCGGCTGCTGGATTACCCCAGTCACCAGGCTCGGCTGATGCCCCTGCTGGCGGATGCCTTTGCCATTCACTTTGCCGCGGAGCGGACCCAGCTCCAGCAGCAGGCATGCTCCGAGCTGCTGGAGGCCGTGAGCCTGGCCTCCGATGAGGGCCTTGACGAGGACCTGTCCGACGATGAGGATGGCACGACCACCGTCACCACCGTCGCCACGACCACCGGCGCCACGGACAGTGGCACTGCGGCCGCCGGAGCCGGGGTCGGTGGCGGGGCCGGGGTCGGCGGGGCCGTTGGCGATCCCACCGCCGGGGAGTATGGCGATGGCGAGCTGACCGCGGCGGCTGGGGATTCCTCCAATGACATTGGCTCTGGCGGTGGCGGTCGTCGCCGGGGCGGCGGGGTCAATGGCCCGGCCATCGAGGTCCCCGAGTCGCCGTTGGCTGTCCGCGCGTTGGCCGATTTGAAGGCCCTCCATGGCACGGCCTCCGGGCTGAAGGCCCACAGCACCTGGCTGGCGCAGCGGGTGATCGAGGAGTGTCGCCAGTCGCTTGGTGGTCATGGGTACTCCTCGTACGCCGGGCTGGCCTCGCTTCAGGCGGACTTTGTTGTCCAGTGCACCTGGGATGGCGACAACACGGTGATGGCCCTGCAGTGTGGCCGGTACCTGGTGGCCTGTTGGCGCGACCGCACCGGACGCGCGGGGCTCTCCTCCAACTTGGCGTATTTGGCCACGCTGGAGCAGGCCCTGGCGTACCGGTCTCCGGCGCGCCGCGCGGCGGACTTCCAGCGTCTTGACCGTGCGTCATTTTGGGGCATCCCCTCCGCCAGGCCTTCGCCTCTCAATGCCCCACTAACGTTTCTCTTTCTCCTTTTCCCTTTCTGCCTTTCGGTCTTTCGGTCTTTCTGTCTTTCTGGCTTTCTCGCCCTCTCTCCGCTTCCCTCCCTTTCATCGCATGCAGTCCTGGTTCAGCTCTATTCCTCAGTCTGTGCGCATCTGGTGGACACGGCCGGCGTGAAGATTGAGCAATACCTCTCTCCCGCGGGCGGGAACATGAGCCCGGATGAGGCCTACCGGGAAGCCGGTATGTGTGATGCCCTTGGCCCTTCTAACTGGACACTTCATCTGCCCACTGACTCCTTTCCCACTGTGCCGCCTCTTTAGCTCCGGAGCTCCTGCGTGCTGCGCGTGCCCACTGCCTGGGGTACATGTTGCGTCAATTTGCCGAGGCGGTGACCGCTGCCCCGGCTTCTCTGCGCCCTCCTCTGGAAAAGGTCCGCTGCCACCACGTCGCACGTCCTTCCCCCTTTTTTTTTGGGCCCCTCGGACGCTACTTGTTTGGTTTCTGGTTTTTTTTTCCCCCCTTCCTCGCGCGCTGACCCATTGCTCAATGTAGCTGTGTGCACTTTTCGGCCTGCATCATCTGATCGAGTCGGCTGGGGCCCTGTGTGCCATTGCTCTCGAGAAGAGCTTCCTCTCCCCGGAGCAGCTGCGTGACGCACGAGACTGCTACCGGGCGCTGATGCCGGAGATCCGAGCTGATGCCGTGCCGTTGGTGGACTCCTTCGCCCTGCCGGACTTCATCCTGGCGTCGCCCTTCGGCCGGTATGATGGCGATGTGTATCGTGCCTACTTCGATCGGGTCAAGTTCGGTAGTACCCTCAGCAATGAGGCAGCCCGAGCTGCAGGGGGGTCCGGCGATCGCCGGGCCACTTCCGGCCCCGTGCGCCTGACCGGCCAGGAGCATCCGTACTTCGAGTCCCAGTTGAAGCCGCTCTTCCGGCGGACCCTGCCTGAGTAGCGCCCGACGCATTGTTCCGCCCCCCCCCCTCCCCTCCCCCCCTCGCCCTGCCCCTCTCCCCCTCTCAGCGGTTTCCACATCTCCACATGTCCACACGCGGACACACGCGCACACGCGCACCGATATGTACACACATACATCCCTCTTTTTTTTTGGCCATCCTTGTGATCCATCATGCACAAGTGGGCCTGAGTGCCCCCAGGCGGCCATCGGCGATTGTTTGCGACCTTCAGCTGCTCGGCCACTCTTCACCTGGCGGCCCCGGCGAGCATCGTGGTATTCGCCGCATCCCCACATGTGCGAGCCATCGCGACCACATCAGGCAGGGAGGGAGGTGGGACGGGGGGGGGGGATCAACAAAAAGGAAGAGGAGCATGCCTGCAGCCTGGGCCCCAAAGTACGCGGTGGGAGGGCTCCCAGGACCGACCGAGCCGCAGCATACCATGCACAGCCATCCACAACTTGAAGGGCCATTTCCTCCAACGGGAAGGGGGAAAAAGCCCGGTGAGAGAGGAGAGATCATTGGGTTTGTTCATTTTCTTCAGCAGGCGGTGGGGGGAGAGGGGGGGAGGGGGGGGAATGTATTTATGGCTTTTTACTTTTTGCAATCAACATCCGCGGGCGCACTCACGCAGTGGTGCGCGGCGTTCATCCACAGAGAGGAGAGACCGTCTTAGAAGTGAACATCACCACGGGAAGCACGGCCGAAAACCGGACGACCACCATTCGCAAGGCGGGGCACGAGAGAATGGTGGTAGGCGGCGATGGCGCGATTGAGCGACCGCTTGGGGAAGTTGTCATTCAGGCGCTTGAGCTCGCTCGGAGGCAGGTAGCAGCGCTGGGACTGGTTCAGCTCAGGGTAGGTCTCATCGGTCACATTGAAGGTGGCCAGCACGTTGTTGGTGACCGTGCAGATGACATCCAGGGGGATGTTGAAGTCCCGGAGGCGGCCGTCCACCAGAATGTGGAAGGTAACCTCACTGGTGGAGGCATACACGTCGCGGTTGGTCGTGACGTTGGAGGCATGCGGCCCACGAGCGACTACCTTGAACTTGGGGGGAGTCCGGGGCGCGAGGAGGGGGCCCTCCCGGGGCAGGTCGAAAAGAGCCAGGTGAACCTTGAAGTGGAAGGAGCTGATGTCATTCACCTGGCGGCCGGAGGAGAAGCCGTGGAGCCGAGACAGCTGGCTGTGAATCGTGACGCCCGAGTCGGGATCCATGGTGATGGTGGTGGTGGCGGTGGGGCCCGTGGAGGCAGTGGTATCGGCGGCAGTGCCGGCGGTGCTGAGGGTGGAGGGCTGGACAACACTCGGGAGCTGGGAGGGGGCCGGGCTCACAGGCATAGGGGTGCCAATGGTCACCGGCGAGAAGGGCGACACGCCCGACTGGGAAAAGGAACCCTTGCGGGGCAGCGGGCTAACGGAAAAGATCCGATGCAGCTTGGAGACCCCCGGGGCCGGAGTCAAAACAGCCGGGCACTCCTCTTGAGCCGGGGGAGCCGCACCGGCCGGCGGCGCGACAAGATTGGGACCAGCAGTGGCAGCAGGAATGACAGCAGGAGCGGCAGCAGGAGCGGCAGCAGGAGCGGCAGCAGCGACGGTGTCGTCCCCGGGGAAGACCTTGTCGGAGATGCGCTGCACCGAGGCCTCCAGGGCGGCCAGGCGCTGGCTTAGGTCATCAAGTTCCGACAGCACACTGAGCATCATCTGACGGCGGGGCATAGCCCGGCGACCAGGGTGATGATGGCCGAACTCCCCGCGCTTCGGGGACTCTGCGCCGCCATTCTGCTGCTCCTGCTGGTGAGGATGGGAGTGGGGACCAAAGGGGCAATGGCGGCTGCCAGCACGCTCGGTCGACACACCGCAGCGGCCGCCGCGGGGGCGTCCCCAACCGCCAATCGGGTGGCCCTCCTCATCGGCGACCCGCATGTGGGGGAACATGCGGATGGGATAGCGGCCATACTTCCGGCGGTTATGGGGGCCGCCAGCGGCGACCGGCGCCCCGGTGCCCGCATTGTCGGCAGCAGCGCGCGCGTACTCCGAGATGGCGTGGAAGAGGCCGCGCTGCAGGCACTTAACCTGACCATAGACATTGCTCATCAGCGCCTGGAAGTCGTTCGGCTGGTAATGCTCATCGAAGACATTGCAGTCGGCAGGGAGAGGGGCCGACGACTCGCTGGCGACGTCGGCCTCGCTGTCGCCCCCCCCGTCGAGTTCCAGGTCGGACTCCGAGTCCGAGCTATCGTCCGAGTAGGACTCCACAAGGCAGGGCGAGGAGGCGAGATCCTCAGAGGGATCGGCCGGCTTGTCGAGGAACTCGGCTGCTTGGAGGTCTTCCTCAACATGCTCGGGGGAGGTGTCCTGCGAGACAGGAGGAGCCTCGGTGGCAGGAGGGGCCTCGGTGGCGGGAGGGGCCTCGGTGGCAGGAGGGGCCTCGGTGGCAGGAGGGGCCTCGGTGGCAGGGGAAGCCCCCGTCCGGACCGGCTGCTGGGGGAGGAGGTCCAACGAGGTGAGAAGCCCGCGCACCAGGCGCGCGGCGTCCTCATTCAAGCCCAGGGCGCTGGTCACCATGTCAAAGTCCAGGGGCAGGACTGGGTGGCGGGGGGTGGCACCCGTGTCCGCACGAGGAGTCTGACCAGCGGGCTCGGGGGCATCTTCCACCGCCTCGGCGGCCTCGGCGGCTTCGGCAGCCTCGACCGCCGCGATGGCGGCGACTGCCTCGGCCTCATCAGCCTCGTCAGTGGCGGCCGCGGCGGAGGCGACCTCGTCGAAGTCCAGGAGTTCCGGAACCTGGACAGGTGGCTGCGGGGGCGCCAGCGAGGCGAACTCCGTGTCCAGCAGCAGCAGGTCGCCAGACTGGATGCATGCCTGAATGGCCGCCTGGAGACCATCGGTGTCCGTGATGCGGATCAGCTCCCCGGTCACCGGATGGTGGTAGGAGAAGCGGATGTAGCTCGGGCGGTAGGGGAGGTTCTGGGTCTTGATGGCGGCGAGGGCCTGTGCATCAGGGGGAAAGGGAATGGGCCGAGGAGGCTCCGGGTCAGTGGACATGGGGGCGGGGAGGGGATGCGGCAAGCACACCGGATCATGGCAGGCGCGATGCATGACGGACCATGGAGAGGAAGGTGTTGAATTCGATCGGAGTGCTGATCTTGATGGACAGCGGCTCGGGAATCGACGGGTTGAGGAGATAAATGTAATTCTGCATCATGGTGGCGGCGGCCGCGGAGCGGGTGGCGACGTGTTGACGTGTGCTCTGGGGAAGTGTGTGTGCGTGTGTGCGTGCAGTGGAGGGGAGAGGAGGGGTTCCGAGGGGTGTTGGAGGGAAGCGTGTGGGGTTGGTGGTGTTCAGGCATGCTTACCCGATCGACAGGCGGCTTCTTAAATAGGTAACGCAGAGTGGCCGCGTATTAGGCCAGATCGTAGAAGGGACCTGGGGGGGGGGGGGGGGGCGGGGGGGGCAAGCAATCCGGGCATGTGACGGAGACCAGAGACCCCGACAGGGGGGGCTGACACAATCGGCCGCGCACGACGCGCGACAACACCACACATACCCAGACTCGGCCGCCGGAATCCGGATGTGTACCGATCGGGGGGAAACTGGAGAAGGAGCGGGGACACACGCCCCCCTCCCCAGCCATTTGTCCGCCCGTTGCTTTGCTGCCTTCGTGCACTGCCGATCACTGGATGGCGAAGCTATCCGCAGGGAGGTCGATGGAAGGCCGGCTTGTGAGAGAGGGAGCCCAAGCGCAAGAATTGGGGTATTATTTTGGCGGTCCGATCATATACCCAATCTGTTGCGTCGGCTGCCCTACTTTCTCCCAGGCGAGGGACCGGGACGGCGGGGACTTCTTCGCGGGGCGGTTGTCCCGGAAATGGGTCCGGCGTCTGGGCAGCCGGCCCTGAGAAGGGGGACATGTTGCCCAGGTCTGGTGCAGACATTCCCCCCCCCCCCCCCCGCCGGACGGTCTGCCCAACCAAACCCAGGAACCGGGGTGAGTGCCAGGGGATTCCCGGCGACGTTGGCCGCCAGCGAGCCCCCACGGGGAGGGAGGGAGGATGGCCAGGCAGCGGCCGGGCAGCGGCCGGGCCGGCGGACGAGCCGTCGTGGCCAAGAGGGAGGCTCTTGCGCCATACTTGCGAGCACGCCTGTGGAAAGGGGGCCTGGAACGCCCCCCCAAAGGGGCATGTCGGTGTCCTGCCCCTCTGGGCACCCAAAGTGCCAATGGACGGGCGTCTTTGGCAGCTCCGCCGCCAACTCGGGGGCATCCCCCCCCCCCAGCGCTTCACCTGTTTGGGCCCCGTGCCGAAAGGAGCAAGGGACGCGCTGGGAAAAAGCCCTGTGCGCCTGCCCCCGCGCCAGGCTCACCTGCCTGGAAGCCCTCGCCCGGCCGTCGATCGATCGGCTTCGAGACCCCCCCTCCCCGGCCCTCCCCGGCCCTCCCCTGGCCCTCCCCGGCTCACCGCGCCATTAGCGTTCAGGGGCCCCCCCGTGCGGATCATATGCCCTTGCGTTGGGCTTTGGGGCCCCGCCCCGCCCAGACCTTCGGTCACTCATGCACCACTCTCCGGGTGTGCTCGCCCCCCCTTCCAAGGAGGTACATTTGCTCCGGCTGCCGGGGCCCTCCTGCCGCCCTCAAGCTCCTGCGCCTTCTTTTCCTGAGTGCCTCTTTGCATTCCGCCGCCACTCGTCTCACAGGCCGAAATGGGTAAGGGCGAGCCGCATCACGGGCCCCGCCCGCCAGCCCCGGCGTCCTGCCCTGCCTGAGGTGAGTCGTTCAAGGCAGGGGAGCACGCTCGATCGCGCACCGACGGCTGGCGCGGGCCGGAGGCCAGGCTGCCTGGCGCCCCCCTCCTGCCTGTTATGTTGTGTGCTCTTCCCCCCGGCCCTGCTCCCCCAGCCCTGTGTCCTGCTCGCTTTCTGCCTGCCTCCTTCGCCCTCTCCAGCCCCCCCCCCCCCCGATACATGGGCCAGGGTGCACGCACCCCGACGCGCACGTCCAGACGTGCACATTGTGTGGGAGTGGGTTCATTTTATTGTTGTTTCTTGGCCCGGTTCTCCGAAGCCGCGGAGATGGGCGCATGCGTAGGTGGGGGTATGTGTGTAGACACACGTGTTTGTGCTTCTGTACTCTCCTGTCGCCTCTATGCGCGGCGCGCTGCCTGGTCGGCGCGTGATGGCCCGCCATCACACCGGAAAAATAAAGACCGCCTGCTTTGGGGCCTCTCGCGAGCAAGGCCCCGCCGCAGGGCGTTCCCCCTCGCGAGCGGGGGCGGAGCATGCCTCCGCCCGGCTAGCGCCTCCGCCGCGTCACAACGGGGCCATAGCGTGGAGCACAAAGGCACACACACAAACACACACATACATACACGGAAGAGACAGACAGAGAGACGGGAACGTCCACACCCCTCCAAGGGGAAGGGGCGCGACGCTGTTCTCCCGCGCCTTCCTGGCCTCAGTTCCTCGGCCCTTGGTTCACTATCTTTCTCTGGCTCCTCCCCCTCGCGCGCGCGCGCGCGCGCTCTCGCTCCCCCTCTCTCCGCCTACCCGTGCCGCCTCTCTGGCAGACCCGGCATCGGGGGGAGGGGGAGGGGGGGAGGCCGTCTTGCACGCCCCTCTCAGGGGCAAGGGGCGCCACCACGCCCGCCGCCACTTGCCTGGGGCGTCTCCTCCACGGCTGCGGCAGGTCCTGCCGTGGCCACCGCCGTGGCAAGGTGGGCCTTAATGTGCGAGACATGGTCATCCACCAGATGGCACCTCGTGGTGGCGGGCACAGCCGGCTGCTTCTTCAGCGACTTCGGGTCCTGCGCGGTGTCTGAAGGGGCAGGAGGAGGCGTGGCCGACTCGGCCAGGACGCCGCTGGGATGCGGCTGCAGGGCCCGCTCCAGGGCCGCTTCGCCCCCGGACCAGATGTCCGAATGGGGCTGGCTCCGTACCAGCCAGTCGACTGGGTGATTTCCACACACACACACACACACACAGAGGCACGGGGGCCGGGGCGCACGCGCGCGTTGATGGCGGCCCGGTCAGATATGGTCCAAAGCAACGACCATCTGCGATCGCCCTCCCCCTCGTTTCTGAAGCTCCCTGGGGGATCGGCCCTGATGTGTCCTCCCCCCTCTCGGCCGATGCACCGAGGCGGTGTGAAAGAAAGCCGTACCAGTACGCTGGAGCCCCTCTTCGAAGCTGACTTCCGGCTCCCAGCCCAGGGCCTGGACCTTGCGCGAGTCAACATGGTAGCGCTGGTCGTTGCATGCGCGATCGCGCACGAAAACCAACCTCCCGCCCATGGTCACGTCGTTGGCGTGGTGATCGGCCAGAGCCGCCGGCGTCCCTTGACCGAGGCTTTGGTCGACGAAGTGGATGCACGCACGGCCGACCTCGAGGGTGGTCCGCTCGCAGCCCGGGCCGGCGGCAATGTTGTACGTGTCTCCCAAGGCACCACGCTGCATGACCGCCTCGAAGGCCCGGACCGCGTCGGTGACATACAGGTACCGGCGCGAGTGGGTCCCATTCCCGTGGATCCAGCTGCGCGGCCAAGGCGCAGAGATGAAAGGGGTGATATAGAAGGAAAGCCCAGCACACGGGGCATTCACAGGCCGAAAGCAGGCAGGGCGCAAGGATCGGCCATGGTGTGAGACACAGTTTCTGGCGCTACCGCGGGATTCCCCGCGCACCGAAGCAACTCTCCCTCGCCCGCTCCCCTGCCCGTGGGCGCCGGCATGCGTACCATGGCTGGCCCCGGAGAAGCTGGCAGATGAACTTCGGGATGACCTTTTCCGGGAATTGGTGCGGCCCGTATACATTGTTGCTGCGGGTGATGATGACCGGCAGGTTGAAGGTGGTGTTGTAGGAGGAGACTAAGAATTCGGCGGCGGCTTTGGGGAAAGGCGGTGAGTCTGGGTTTCTCGGGGCCCGGCCAGAGCAGGGCATCATCCGGGAATGCCGTGTCCACGCCCGGCCATTGGTATGGCACTCCCACTGCCCCGGCCTGTGTGTCCTTCTGTGTCTGTTTCTCTTGCTCGCTCTCTCTCTCTCTCTCTCTCCCTCCTGGCCCGGCTTATTTCTGCACCCGCCTCTATATGCCCCGCTCTTGTTCTCGCACGCGGCCTCTGTCTACTGAGAGCCACGAGTGGGCCATTCGCGTACCCTTGGTTGCGGCATAGGGGTTGGTGGGTGCCATTGGGTCGGTCTCCTTGAAGGCTTGCTGTGCTCGCCACAGGCAGCACATTGCCGGCAAAAGAGCAGGGCAGACATGCCGTCGGTTTGAGTGTGACTGGAAAACACAGAGGAAGGGATGCGAAAAGAGCGGGAGGGGAGGGGCGGGGGCTGTGGCCGCCGGTAGCAACGCACCCCGAGCGGTGCCGGGCCATACACCTCGTCCGTGCTCACATGGATAAACCGCCGCATCTGTCCGGCCGGAGCCAGGCGGCTGGCCTCCAGCAGCGCGTGAGTGCCGATGACATTGTCCCGGGTGAACGAGAGCGAACTCTCGAAGGAGTTATCTGCTCGTGTGTTTGCGAGCGCAGCGCGGTCGGGAGTTCCTCCCGGTGGTCAGCCAATGGACGCTTTTGTCCCCGGTGTGTGGGCATTGGCGATGCGCGGCCAGGGGGTAGCAAGGTGAAAGGGCGAGGGGGGGGGAGGGCATGAGGGTCTCGCACCGACGTGTGATTGAGCCGCAAAGTGGATGACCGTGTCCACGCGCTCCTCCTCGATGATCTTGCGCATGAGTGGCAAGTCCGTGATGCAGGCCTGAGAGAGAGAGAGAGAAGTGTTGGTGTTAATGCCCCCGGGGCCCTGATGGCGGGCGGCAATGCAGCTCGGGGGGGGGGGGGGGGGGGGGGGGGGGGGGGGGGGGGGGGGGGGGGGGGGGGGGGGGGTCGCGCACGGCGGCCGGGCGCAAATGGCAGGACTCAGGGATACGCACTTGGATGATCTTCAAACACTGAAGCCCCTGCAGCTCACGCAGGGAGTACGGGCATGCGCAGTAATCCATCCGGTCGAGGCAAATCACGCGGCGGCCGGTTCCTTCATACTTGCGGGCGAGGTAGCCAACCATGTTCGAGCCACTGGGTGTCATCAGCGAGGCGGAGCCAGGCGTTAGCATGGGAGGGTTCCGGGATGCCAGGGATGTCGGGGATGCCGGGGATGCCGGGGATGCCGGGGATGCCGGGGGAGGGGGCCGCCCGGGCTGGGAAAGGCAAACGGGGGCTCGGGCGAGGGGGAAAGGAAGGAAGGAAGCAAGAAAGACCCCTTGCGCACATGAAGCCAGCCCCGCCGGTGATCAGGATCACTTGCGGGTCGTAATCCGCGGTGCTCGGGCCCATCGCCTCGGCCGGGCCATCGGCCCCGACATAGAGGGCCGGCTCCAGATGCAGATCCATCGACATGGACGGCGTCAGCACCTCGTCGGCCCCGTCGGTCGGCACCTGGAGGCCCTGCACCAGGAAGCCCAGGCGGTTGACCAGCGAGGAAAGCAGACCATTCTGCTCGGGGCGCGGGCTGCGGGCCTCCGCCGGCGAGGGGCTGGACGCCACCGGCGGAGTGGCCGGGCTGCCGGGGCCCAGCCCGGGGGCGTGCGACATCAGGGTGACGGTGGTGGCATTCGCGCCGATGCGCGACCGGGACCGGAGCCTGTGGCTCGCGGGCGAGGGGTGACTGGGAGGGTTCATACTGCGAACTGGGAGAGGTGGTACTTGCAGGGGGAAGGCCTGGGCAGCTCGTCGGAGGGGCGAGTATGTGTGTGTGTGTGTGTGTGTGTGTGTGTGTGTGTGTGTGTGTGGGAGGGGGGGGGAGGCGAGGGGAGAGGGGAAAACGCGCGCGCGAAAGGATGGCTGGCGATCGTTCGATCGCTCGGGTGTAATGTGGCAGGCGAAAAAGGGAAGCAGGGCGGCGCATTCATGCTTGCCGCATGCTAGCCGGCCGGGGCCGGGGCGGGCTGCTTTTTTCCCCTCCCCCCCCCCATACACACACATCTTTCTCTCTCTTTCTCTTTCTCTCTCTCTCTCTCTCTCTCTCTCCCTTTCTGCCCCAATCAAGCCGTCTGCCCGGGCCCGGGCCATCTTTCCAGGCCCAAGCCATCCCTGTCGGGCCATGCTCACCCGGGGACCTCCTCTCCTCGGCCGCACCAAAGACAAAGGCTCTGGCGGATTTTCCCCTTCGGCCCCGAGGGCCGGTTGTCCGATGTCCCCTACCCTCATCCACACTCTCGCCCGCCTCTACTCTCTTTCTCGCTCGGCCCCCTCGCCCGTGCCGAGCAATTCCCCCCCTAGTCCCCCCTCGACGGGACGCAGGAAGGCCGAGATCGGATAGCAGGAGGCATGGCGATAGGATTGTCACCTGGAGCGATGTTCATCTCCACGAGGGGGCCTTTACCGCCAGACATCTGAAAGGGGGTAGCCGCGATGCTAGGGGGAGGGGGGGGGGGCGGGGCGGGGCGTTAGCATGTTGCCGCGGCGGGAGGGGCAAGGGGGGCCAGATCACCCTGCAGAGGCTTGGCCGAGTGGGCCCCGAGCCGAGTACCAATTGCCGAGTGGCCGCTGATCTTGATCTCGACTGACCGATTCTACAAGCTCCCAGGGCAGGGGGCGGGCGTGGAGCGGGGGCCTCCCTTGCACGGGGCTGATCTTCAGATTCACATCTAATTCACCTGGAATGGGATCTACGGTGGGAGTAGGGCTTTTGCGAAGCGCAACCACCCCCTGAATCGCGCGCGACGGCCGCCACAAGCATGTCCGCCCACATCCTTCACCGTTCGCGCTTCGCCGGCCGCCATGGCCCCCAAAGGGCCGGGGTTGCGGCCGGAGACCGAGAGAGGGGGGCGAAGGAGGGGGAGGGCGAGAAGGCGCGAGGGGACTCGGGCTCCCATGTACAGCACACGCATCGGCGGTCACGAATGTCGACATGGCCGCCGAATGATGCAGTTGTGTCATCTGGGGCACAGGGTCGCCCTGGCGTTCCGGCCTTGCTCACAGTGAAAGAGGCGGCACCTTGGCGGCCGTTGTTTCGGCCAACATGGGGCCAGGGAGCACGCACAACCAAGCAGTGGCAACGACAGACGCCGTACCGCCAATCCGCCCCACCCAAACGGCCAATATCCCCCGCCCCCAATGCCCTGTGCTCGGCTGCGCTGCGCCGCGCCCTCTCGTCGGCTCGTGCCCTCCTCGCCACCCGCTACCCTCTGGCCCCCGGCCCCCTGGATGAAGGGGGGCGGGCGGACAATCGGCAACCCCTTCTCGGACAGCCAGGCAAACCGATGCTGCCAGGTCGTTTAGGGCTCGAGAAGCCGCATGCATTCCGTGAGGACCATGCCCCCCTGCGCTGGTATCCCCTCATCACCCCCCCGGGAGGGGGCGAGCGAGCGAGCGAGCGAGCGAGAGACGGACCAAGAAGGAGGAACGGAAGCGCATGCCAAGGGCTCCCAGAGCGCGGACACAGGCGCACCCGCTCCATTGGCAACTATCCGGGGCCGGGGAATGCAAGCACACCCAAGGAGCCCACACGCCGGGGCCGGCTACTGTCGACATTGGCCGACGTTCGGGCCGCATGCGTGGTCCCAGCCCCCGGGAGGTCCAGTACGTCATCTACTGACCAGCACACACTGAGGGCTTGGCGGCGCTCGAACTTGACCTGTGATGGGCTCCGATGGCGGTGTTAGACGGATACCCAACTCACTCGTCGCTTCTTCTCTCTCTCTCTCCCTCTCTCTCCCTCTCTCACCCCCATGGGGCCACATACACCCACACACGCACTCGCTCCGGGCGCGCCCCGCACATCGGGAACCTTAAATGTCACGGGGCGCGGCGATTGGTCCGCCATACACGAGCACACGCATTCCCAACCTCCCCGCCTCGGGAGAAGACGGTCCAGGTGGCCGGAGCGCTCACACTCGGTGACCATCCGGCCCCGGGAGGGGGATGCCCAGCTGGGTTTCCTGCACGGATCCCCCTTCGGCAGAGTTCGCAGCCCACAAGCGCGAATTACCCCACAAGCACGATCGTGGAGTAGTCCCGATGCCGGAATTAAACCGAACACACCTAGAATGACGTTCTATGACGTAACGCTCCAAATCAACTCCCAATGCTCCGACGCAGCATTCCGCATTCCTACTCGGTGGACTGGCAGATGCCGCCAAATCTAGCGAGGGCATGCTGAAATCTAAGACCATCATCCTCAGGCTGGGTGCCTTCACCAGGGCACTGGTCGAACCGCCAGGTCGATTTGCATTTGTTTCCCATGGCTCCGGTGCGGCCCGAGCCCCGGCCGTGGTGTGGTGGTCGAGGTGGGCCCGGGGCCATTCCCACCGGTCTCTGTCCCTCGGGCCCCGCTCTGCCCTCGTTTCCCCCCCCCCGGGGGGGGGGGGGGGGGGGGGGGTACGTCTCGGGGTCATCCATAGGCAGGCAGGACAGTTGTGTCCCTTCCGCGCCATGCCAATCCCAGCCTTGACTCGCTGATGAGGGTGGATGTGCCCGGTAGGCTCCAAGTCTCCACCGGGCGTGGAAAGGGGAGAGAGCAGGTCCAGGCCCCGGGAGAGGAGGACCCCTGGGTGGGCGTTGGTCCATGTCCATGTACACGTACATGTGTGTGTGTGTGTGTGTGTGTGTGTGTGTGGGCCTCGCCCTTTTTGTGCTCTCCACAGTCCCTCTCACCCCTGACACGCCATATAGCTTCCGGAGAAGACGCACTCAGGCATAGGGTGCCCCTGTCCTTGCTATGAGAGGGCGCACCCAGTAGGGGAGGGGCTCTCGTTCGAGGGTATGTTGCCTCCCACTTGCCTAGTTGCCTGTCCCACCGCACTTTCGCCTCTCCTCTCCTGCCCGCACAGCGACCGGCCATTGCCATAGAGCCGTCCTTCGAGGCGCCCGACTCTGAGTGGGCAGTCTTTTTCACTTTTCCAGCGTAAACCAGGCTCACGAGATCATCCGAGACAGCCCAACAAATCCACGACCCCCCTGACGCACAGATATACTCAGCCAACATCCTCTCGCACACACACACACACACACACACGCAAGCACACATAGGCCCCACCGAAGTACGCCCTCGCGCGAGCAGACTCGCCACGATACACATGGGCGATCGCCCAAATGCCCAAGCCCGACATTGACCAATGGTGTTACTCATGGCCCCGGTCCCGGCTTGGGCTGTTCGGAAGCAGGCTCCCCTGTGCCAGGGCGCTGCTTGCCCTGATCGGCCGCGTGGAGGATGAAACTCCGGCCGCGGCGCCCGACCCTGCGGGCGCGCATTGGCTGGCTCACAAGCGGCAGCATGCCATCCTGGCGTCGAACCCTGCATCCGACCGCGGTGGTGGTGTTCGAAGGCGGTCGACCTGGCCACTGTGGCTTGAAGGAGGCCCTCAGCGGACCGGACGCCGAGAGTGTCGATGAGCGGGGCCCGGACGGCGAGGCGAAGCCCGGGCCCCGGCGGTGGCTGTTGCCGGCGCTGCTGTCCGGGCGCCGGTCGGGCGCCGGCAACCGCAAGCCCGAGGCCGCCCGAACCGCGCGGCTGGTGTGCCAGCTGGACCGGCTGGTGGTGCGCGGCCGGCTGGTCAGCCCGGCACTCATTCGGCGCATGCTCACCGGCCCGGCGGGCGCCAAAGCCGAGGTCCGCGCCCACCCCGCCGGCTTGGCGGAGGAGGCTGGCAATGCTCTCCCCGGTCCGGGGGACATCGACGACTGCATGGCCGAAGCGTGCGTCAATCCGTGGCCGGCCCAGTGGGGCGGCTGCTGCGCTCCCCGCCTCGCGGTGCCCCGCCCCGCCCCGTTGCCAATGCCTCCGCTCCGCCCCGCCCCCCCAAGACACTGACTCGCTGCCGGGCCCACCGGGCGCGCCACCCCCCCCGCCCCCAGCCGGCCGTGTGTCGCTCCTTCGCCCTGGATTGCCTTGATTCCGGAGAGCGAGACGGCCGACGTGTGCCGATCGCTGGCCACCATGCGGGCCTCCTTGGCCTTGGTGGGCGGAGGGGCGCCCATGTCTCCGGAGCCCGGCCTCTCCGACTGGGGGGCCGGGTGGGACTTGAAGGCCGTCTTCATTGCTCAGCGGGCCGGCGGTCCGGGAAGCTGGCGTGCCGAGGGCGCCGCCACTACGGGGCCCTTTCCCACGGGCTCGGCCCCGCACCCCGGCTCACCGAGGGAGATTTCCTGCCCGGGGATTAGTCCAACAATGCCGTTTATCGAAATGAAGTGCGTCCTAGACCGGCCGGAGAGCGTGCTTGTGAGGGGCTGCCCTCGCACGAGGGGGCTCGAGGGTGACCATACCAGGCGGGCGGGCCGGCGGCCGGCAGCGTGCCTGGCTGCCCGAGGGGATCTTTCTTGCCATGCCCTCATGCCACCGGTCCCGGTGTACTGACCGTCAGGTATGTGTGCGTACGTGCGTGTGTATGCATGTATGTATTGTATGTATGTGTGTGTGTGCATGTCCTCGCTCGGGGTAAATAGCGCCGACGAACTGGCAGCCTTGGACTCGGAGGTCCGCTTCCGAGCTTTGTCCGGAAGTTTTCTCTCGGTGCGTGGCGCCGCCACCGGCGCGGGAACATCGCGGCTCGGGACTGAGGCAAGGGGCGAAACTGACAGCCACATTGTGTGCCGCGCGCGAATCCCTGCGCCCCTCCTCGCCCACCCAGGTGGCCACTCGGATATCCAACCCCGGGAGACCGCCACCAACGCGATCGCCAAGCAGCACCCTGGCAAAGGCCCCCCTGGAGCTGAGTACCACGCTCGAGGGGGCAGCGGCTACCATGCGCATCATGATCCCCCTGATGCTTGTCCTCTTCCTGGTGGTCATGCTGAAGGCCCTCCGCGCCGATGACACGCTCTACTATGAGGCCCGTGCCCATCGGCAGACCGGGGGACCGCTCGGCCCGGAGGGGCCCCCCCGGGGCCCCGGGCCTCAAGCTCGCCCCCGGCACCGGGGCCTGCCGCTCTTCAGTCGGGCGGTGTGCTGGCTGACCCGCGGCCTGCTCGGGGGCAATGGCCCAGCGCGGTCGAGCTACCGCTCGCACTTTGGCCTGTCCATGAGGCAGATCGCATCCATCCCCTTGAAGCCGCACTTTCCCCGCGAGGAGGATGGGGAGCCTCTCCCGGGGAGTGGCCTGCCTCCGGGCCTTGGGGCCTGGGGTACGTGTGCGGGGGCGGCTCTTCCTCATTGCTCCTTCTTCCGCCGGTGACCGCATTCTGCGCCCACTCGCCCATGCCCACTCGTGTGCACACCTTGGGGAGTAGGCAGGACATCTAACTGCAGCGGCGTCCCGGGTGCCGTGGCCCCTCCCTGCGGCGAATTCGAACGGTCGGCGCCGGTGACCGCCGCCAGATGACACCTCCGCCAAGTACGACCCCTCCTCCCCAACGATGGCCCTTGTCAATGTGAACGAACATCGTCCCTAATCAGCGCTCTCTTGCCCCCCTGGTGACGATGGCGGATGACGCCCAGAGAGCACTGCGCCATCTGCCAGGGACCTTTCTCCGAACCGTCCAGCCCCTCGGATGAGGGGTGGGCCTTGGGGCCGCTCGTGGCGTCGGGCAACATGACTGATGTCCCGCGCGCCGGCCCTGCCGTGCATGGAGGTACGCCTGACTTCTCCTGGTAGACGGCCTGCAAGTGCCTGGAGCGCGGTCGGCCGCTGTGCAGAGGCCGGGCATCCACTCCGACTCCTGTGCCCCACCGGATGGGGACTGACCGAGCGCTCTCTTGGGCCCCGCCCTCCCAGGCTCCCTGCCCCCGGCATCACGCTCGCCAAGCAGGACACCCCTCGATGGCCAGCCCACCCCAGCCCCGGAACTTGGGCAATTCTACATCGTGGATCCTCTGGGCCCGGCAGTTGGGCACTTGGTTTTCGCCCACATGGGGGTCCCGCAAACCGCTGGCGACTACCGGCCACCGGAGCACCATGGGTCAAATGCCCCCCGCCACCGGCGCCCGGCGTCCGCACACCCCCCCCCGGCGGACCTGCGGCCAAGCGACACATCGGCCCTCGAGCATGGTCACCCGCCGGCGGCCGACGACCCGCCCGAGCGCCGGTGCATTTGGCTGCGCGAGCTCCCCTGCCAGCACTCCTTCCATCGGAGCTGCTCGGATGCCTGGCTCAGGACCTATGGTCGGGCGTGCCCCCTGTGCCGGGTCCCGGTCCTCGGCCGGCGTGGGATCCTGTCGCTGAAGGCGCCAGTCGCCTTGGGCTAG